GAGCATTTTACTCTTCTTAGATAGATCTGGGATTAAGGCCCATCGCAGCAGCCAGGGTTCAGCAGAGAGCTCCAGACAGGCAGAGCCGGTCAACTGCAGGGGCTAATAGGGACGGCTCGGTCTGGGGGATGGAGAGGCTCGCTGGTTCTAGCACATGGCCGGCTGGGGACGAGGTGGGAGGCGCAGAGAGGCATAAATTATTTAACACACAACCATTACAGAGTCCACAACGTTGCATGCAATATTCAGACATAAACCATGTTTGATTGTGTTAAAATTATCAGCACAGAAACACTCTGGGCTTCGTCTCGTCACACTTATTTCCAGCTCTGAGCCAATCAGTCAGACTCTTCAGTTTTGCCCTAATTTCCTCCACAGGAGGTGTGGCCATGGCTCCTCCTAGTGGTTACTGACAGTCATTAGGAAGAAGAGATGCTTTTTATCGACATATCATCTTAACTCCCAGATATGATCTTTTAAAGCCTTTTAAAATCTCCACCCATCGCCATCAAAGTGTCTGAAACTTCTTCCCCCAGATACTGCCCTGGCTGCTGGGGACCGATCCTGGTTGTTGGGGTTTTAGCACATAGAGTCCACAGAAAAGTGGATTTGTCTATAATCTAATTTCACCCCTGATGCAAATCAGCTTAGGTCCTTGAATCCTGGATCCAGGAATCTCTCTTCTCCTCTGGGCAGCTTAAAAAATGCTGTACTTTAGGTACAGCTGGCTCAATGTGTATCTCTGGCACGGCTGCCAAAACATATTCCAATCCGCTCATCTGCCCCAATTTCTATGATCTGTTTGGAGTAAAAATAGATTAGCCTGTCGCTTTGTTGGTTTTTATAAAGAGAACCTTCAGAAGCAGCGTTTCTGTGTCTTTATGCTGTCAGTGGACCAATCAGGCACAGTTTCTACATGTGAAATGTACGTTTCATTTAAAGGTGACGTAAATGTGACCAACACGGAGGAGCTGCAGTGCAACAGAAATCCCTTTAATGAGGAGTTTCTCAGCAGGTTCATTGCTCTTCATTAACAAAGCGCTCGGCCTGCTGCAGTGTGTATCGGATAAAGCCACTGCAGAGATGGAGATCTCTGAACTCCTGACAAGGCGGTGCAGCCATCGATACGCTGCAGCCACTGATTCACCAACACAGCAGCTGGACCGATAGTCCTGTAGCAGGCTGTCTGGACGGAGCCCTTTGAATCAGCACAGTGCTCCTCAGCTGTCCTTGTTTAGCTCAGTGGTTTTAAAGCGAGCCTCTCTGTCGGTGTGTCTGGTCAGAACACAGCGATGCTACATGAGAGAGACGAGACCTGAAGCAGAGACAGAAAAAGGCAACGCTGGACTTTACGGATGAAAAATTCACTCCTGCTCAACAGCGAGACGAGAGCAGGGAGGGGAAACAGAGTCCACTGGGTCAGAAAGATCAACAGTCAATTTACACTAATGGCCTCCAGAACTCATTTGCCACCCTAAAGCCAGTCAGGCATCCTGATAGAAACGCTGGTGTGCACATATGATACCCCCGGACAGCAGAGAGACAGGCAGCAACACACAGAGGCATGAGTTCAACAGACAAACATGCATTCCTCATAGACTGGCACCTTTCAATTACATCCCAAGAAGGCATCATTAAGCCGAGGAGGTATGCCGTGGTCTCTGGTATAAGGTGGTTATGAAGCTGGATTAATACGAACACTTTGGTGCGCTCGTATCGACAGCTTTCACTGGAACACACTCTAAACCACACAAACGAAGTCTAAAGCAACACTTCATCCCACTAGTTGACTCACAGCCACCATATGAATTAATTATTTTACTTCCCTTTGCTGCGGTACATTACTCTGCATGGGATCAATAAACTTTAACTCTGAACTGACAAAACTGAGCAGCATGAAGTCACTGACGAATTAACAGGAAGCAAATCGAGCCACGCTGGTTAATTCTGTTGAGTTATTTATCCCTTAAACTACTGCAGATACACAAGGAGCTGCTGCTAATTCACAGTATTTCATCGTGATGCATCATATCATACAAAATAACACTTGATTTGTGGCTTTTGATCAAACTTCAGCTACAACACTTGGGAGTTTGAAAGTGGCCGATAGAAAAACCGACTGAGCGATCACAACAAAAGAACAAGCTTCACCCACGACGATGTGTAAGATAACGCTGCATCATTATCACACAGATAGACTCTTAGAAAACAGGCAGTTTGATATTCAGTGGCAGACTGAGCTCCAAGCTTCCCCACTTAAAGAGTCTTTGTTCTATTATTGTGTGCTTTGAAGAGCAGCAGTCTCTCTGCAGAGTGGCTGTGCGACTGCATCCTGGATGCTATAAAAAGGCCACTCCTGCCCTGACATCGGAGAGAACAGAACAGCGCCGACAGTGAGCGGTGTTGCACTTAGCGGGTCCGTCTGTCTGTGTGTGTACTTCAAGCTGAGGACTGTTACTTCTGAGATGTGAGAGCCAGGAATTGAAAATGCTTTCCATTCCCAAAAGGGTGCACCTTCCGTGCGTCCTTCCTCGCTGCAGTGGCGTGAGGGAGCTGGGTCTGGGACATCAGTGGAAACTCGGCAACTTACGCCAGTAGTTTTACATCTATGCAGCACATGTTAAGTAACCGTCCGCTGAAGGACACAGCAGACAGGCATCAAACATCCCTCGATCAGAGAGGGATGAACCAAGACACATGCAGTGAATACGTGGGTGAGCATTAAGCCCAGCTGTATATTAATAAATGCATGATGATGACTTACATACACACACATACACCTCCTAGGAGGTACTCTGTCATCTCCATTACTGATAAGCCCAGATCAGACAGTGAGCGAGCAGCCAAAGGGGAAAACGCCGCGAGGAAGGAGGCAAATCGGCTCTCAGTGGCTCAAAGAGGAGAGATAATGAAGATCAGCCTGCAGACATGTATCTGAACGCATAGCGATCGCTGTGAGTCAGAAACACAGCCGAGCTACAGGCTGAGGCAGGTGGCTCGGACCGGCTCCGTCCTGCTGCTGTCACGATTTGATCACAATCAGCTTTATTCACGTACACACAACTTAACTTGGGCTCAAAGAACCTGCACCAGAAAGGGAACTGGGTGTTTGCTCCCATGCACAGCTATAAAGTCAGTCAAAACTTTGGTGCAAACTGGGCAGATTGTGATGATAATAATAAATACAGGATTACTGGTACTTAATGTAGGTGGATGACAGCGCCGTGGAGCAAAGAGCAACGTCGCTTCACGTCTAAAAATACTGGAGTTAACCAATATATTTTTCAGTTTCTTTGTGTGAAAGAACAGACAGAAGATCTTAAAATAGAACCACCCAAGAGCACCTTTAACCTCTGATGTCTGCATGACCGTAATCACATACCGGCAGAAGGTGACTTAAATAATTCACACAGATTTCCCATTGGATGAAAGTGTGCAGTCAGCTTGCTGAGTGTGTTGTAACAGTAGACGTTATCAGACAGAGGATATAAGCGAGCATGTGAAAACCACTAGCTATTGTAATGTGAGCCTGTGGTGGCTGCCATAGTGAGTTAATGGAGCGGAATTGCTCGTCAGCCTCCGGAGGCAAAGACTCCGTGTTGCCAGAGCAGGTACCACGTAGGGGAAATGTTAACCAGCTAACCTCCAGTCACTACTGGAAGCTTGCTCTTTTCAGGAACGGTGCACCTCCACTAGGGATCATTAGGCCACAAGCAGCACATAGAGGATCCTCCAACAGGGGACCAGGAGGAGCAACGGCCACCTCAGATCTGATAGCTCAGGTTTATTCACAGACTACAGCGTCTGAGTGTCAGCGAATGCAGCAATAGACGACAGCCAGACCTCAAAGTGCATAACTGAGCTGCAGGTTAGTTTGCCGCCTCCAGCTGTTTGTAAGAATCCTTCCTCTGAGGTTACAGAATACCTGCAGCATCAGGATCCATGTGAGCGTCTGCACAGTGACAGAGTGCTGCCTTCATGTATGAAACAGCTTTAAGTTTAATCATTACTCATATCTATAAATCACACCTGACATGGAGACAGGATTGTTCAGGAGCGAACAGCATCGCTTCTACACCTCAGACAGGTGAGCCGTCAAACACAGTCCCTGTTCACCAGCTGCAGGTAAATCAATCCTGAGCTCCATCACAGCTTCATCCTACATATATAATAATCTGATCGTTCTCCGAGAGCCAAATTGATTTTCTGCCATATTAAGCTTTTGTATTAAGGAGATATCTGCAGCCTTTCCATTACTGTGTATATGTCACCTCTCAAACCAAATGCAGCAACAGACAGACCAGCTGATGAAGAAAACACAGTTAATCCCTGGATGTCCTGCCTTTAGGTGAACTCTTTCCTGAACCAAACCTGCAGCTGTATTAGTCTGTGTACAGCAAATCATCTGAAACCTTCCCTGTAAAACACTCCATGTGTGATCTCTTCACTCTCACACTGTTTTCAGCTCAACTCTACACAACAACAACAGACTTCCTGAAGTGCAGCTTTGGGTTTTTGTGCCACCCCAACACTCCCAGTGTCTCCATGTGGCCCCCAGTGACACATTCCTGCTGCTGTAGTGGGTTAATGGGGTAGATCAGCTCGTCAGCCCCTCCAGGTACAGCTTATTGTCTCCCAACCAGGTGCCACACAGGTTAAACCCCAACTAGCTGCAGCCTGCGGCTATGACTGGACTCTTCCTCTTTTCTCCAGCACTGAGCCTCCATTAGGGATCAGCAGGTCACATGCACGATCACACACACACATTCGGCTGCTTCGCTGTCAAATCTGCCCACTTTCCTCCATAAACTGCATCCCCTCTGCACACACAGACAATGGGTAGGTTAGCAGTGGAAGGGCTGAAGCGTGGAAAGCTACCACCGCAGGCTGCTGCTGCTCAAGCTAACGGTAGCATGATGAGCTAGCAGCGCTAATCAGCAGCAAACAAATATCAAAGTCGGGAAGGTTCATGTTCACACACTCCGGCGGCTCTGCTCTACCTGAATGCTGCGTGAATATATTGATCCCCGGGTCGGGCACGTTGACCGCAGCCGCTCTGCCCGGCGGTGTCCCGGTGCTGCTGCCGGGTTCTCGGGGTCTCCTCCCGGCGCCGCTCCCCCGGTTCCCCTTCCCTTGGTGCGGTTGGGACGCGTGGGGCTGTGGTGGCTGGAGTCCGGTCGATGTACCCTCACCGACGCGGCCTACCTGCTGTCCCATCCCGGTAGTTTGGTGCGTTTGGGACGAAGCGAGCAAACCCCCTTGCGGTACCTCTCGGTTCACATTCCCCCCTCCGAAAAAAAAGCTGGAGCGGCCTGGCCCGAGTCCTCCTTCCTTGATCCCCTCCCCGCGGTTCTTCGCCGAAGCTAGCTAGCCCGTGTTAGCTCGCCTGGGCTAGCCCCGTTAGCAGCGAAACCCACCCACCCTGCCGTTAACAATAAAACCGCAACGGCGCCGTGTGACAGCGATCGTGTCTCCGCCGGTGATCCGGATGGTGTCCGAGCAGCGATCGGCGGTACCGGACGAGCGAGGTTTCGGTCAGATCGGAGCCGTTCAGAATCGCTTCGCCGTTGTCCGGCCGCTGCGCGCCCCCTCTGACGCCGCCATCTTTACCGCAGAACAGAAGATGTGTTGCACAAGGCGGGGGGTTCGCCTCGATCCCCTGTGATCCTCCACCCCTCCGGCACCGACACCGACCCACCGGGTCCCAGCAGGTCCGAGCTCCCGCTGCCTGCCGCGCCGGACCGTCTGGACCCGGAGCTCTGGAGGAAACCGGCAGGAAAAAACTTCCGAACCTCTGAGCTATTGTTTAATCAGAATCATGCGTTTGGTGACAGAAGAGCAGCTTTAATGTGAACTCCTCATTCTGACACAGGTGTGCGATTATGGCCGTGATTTATACCTGTAGGAAATAAATGGATCACTGTCTTTTATAATTAAAAATAAAGAAATGATGATGTACGTCCTGGTTTATCTTGTTTTTTGTTTGTTTGTTTTAAATTATTATTTATTTTTTATTTTCTGTATTGCATTTCCTACACATTTGCGCTTCTTTGCTGCTGTAACGATGCACATTTCCTCATTGTGGCATTGATGAAGGCTTATCTGATCTTATCAGGTGTGAATTTTAATATAAACGCACTCATATCTCAACAATCTGCCACACATTGTACATTTTATACACACTGGATGCAGCAATAAAATCTGAATTTGAGCAAATTAGCACTAGACAAAGACACACACATGGACTATTATGTAATACAAGGTAAAGAAAAATACACAGAACATATTAGATTCTTGATAGTTCACATACAGATTAATAAAACTTTATTCTGCTTGGCTCTTGATAAGAATTATAATCTTTATTATGAAGATCTCAGCTCAATATCTCAATATTTCTGCTATTATCTGTGCACACTGAAGAATAACTTGTTGGCACTTGTGTTCAAACTCTCCACACAATAAAACTAATAAAGGGGAATTATTCTTATTATCTAAAACCACTGAAATTAAATAGATGGATGTCCTTTATACATAAAGCAAGTGTACCAGCTCTGCTTCATGTATCAGCATGAAGGAAGGAAGGTGAAATTAGTTTACATGAAAATATAACTGCACTCAAAAAAACAAACACTTTTAATACAGACTGTATAAAGTCAGATGCAGCTACTGAAGTGTTATGATTTTGACTTAATCAGCACTAATTAATGACAATTTCTTCACTACTACTTGGATTTATACTCTTGTATGTACTGAAACCAATTATTTTTGTTTGTTAATTCTGTGAAGGAATCCTGAGAATCATGAACATTTAGTTTGAGCACATCGCCACCTTGTGGTCGTCCAGGTTCTAGAAGTGCTGAGTTGCTGCTTTGCACTGAAATACAGCAAAACTGGCAACAACACTTGTGTATAAATACTACAAACATGACTCCAGAACCACGAGAACTAAAAGCACCGCAGCGTGTTTAAAAGCCTGATTCATCAGTGGACACAGGAACGACTGGAGCAGCTGTGAACTGCAGCTCTTAGCAGGAATCAAGCATCATTATTATCTCACAGCGGCAACATTTGGACCAACACAAGCTGATGAGAATAAACTTTTCCTTTATTTATATTTGATGGTTGTTACACTTTGATGTTTAAGGAAAGCATCAAGAATTAGAAAAATCGACCAACTGATTCATAAAATGTCACCAAACACAAGAAGTCATTCAATGTCAGAAAAAATCAATCAATCATAATAAACTCACATGTGACAGAAAGTGAGCCAATCTCTGCCCCCACTCATCTGAACACACAACACATCTGCATTTGGCTCTTGACTATAATAAATATTATCTTTATTACCAAGAGTTTAAGAATAAAACTTCAAATCTCGAGATGGATTAAAAGTCCAATATTTCTCCAGTTATCTGTGCATATTGAAAAATAATTAGTTGTTTTTGTTAATTTTGTGAAGAAATCGAGGGAATCTTCTTTTTTGGGGTGAGGATCAGAATTAAAAGCTTTATTACAGCGCCACCTTGTGGTCGTCCAGTTCTATGAAGTTGCTGGTTTTTCACTGTGCATCTCATCAGTCACAAACAATCATCTCCCTGCATTGAAATAGAATTGGCACCATTCACTGTGCATTAACTCCCCCGAAAATAATACAAACATCGATTCCAAGACCATAAAAGCACATTAAACACCTTCTTCCATTCGTGTAACATCAAAATTACTGTTGTGTAAAACGTACACGTTCATGATTTAAACAACACACCCTCGTTTATCGTGCTGAGTATGTGACAATACAAACTGTAGCCCTTAGTGCTAATCAAGTATCACCACCACCACCACCACCCCGGGGTTAGAACATTCTAGCAGCCAGCTGCAGGTTTTACAGTAGTAGTTCATCTGAAGTGATTTCACGCTGCGGCTGAAATCACGACGCTTAAACAAAATACAACATTCCCAAGAAAGCTTTCTGTGCGACGCTCGTTCAAGAATACATCCAGCAGTCATCGAATAAATTAACTTCACACAGTTCTCTCACATTCTCCTTCAGCTTGTCATATTCAGATTAGAATAATTAACGAGTCCTAACGTGTGGCTCAAAAATGGGAAAATGCAGGAGTTCAGTTGTGCCACGATGCTTTGCTCTACGAATTCCTGATTTATTATAAAACAGCTTCCCCATCACGTCGTGTTCTCGTTCGGATGAGATCGGTGCAATCTTAAAGTCGTAATACAGAAACCACCGTTCCTCAGATTTATACAGAACGCCCAACAGTTGGTCGTTTTGCACAATAAATCTCGTCGGCAGTGGAAATAAATAAGATTGTCCATGCAAGTCTTTTCCAAAACAACACACTCTGACGTTAAACATTAACCGTCACTGCATACGGTGTTTGTATTGTGTAATGTTTGCGCTGAGCTGCCACGTCGTCGCTGCCACTGTCGTGTTGGCACCAGGATGTGTTTCACAGTAGATCAAGGCAAAGGGAGACGTCAGAAAAATAAATAGTACATAAAAATAGGAGTTCACGAGTGTTATCGTGTGAACCGGGGATTTTGTTGATGGGTTTCGCCTTCGAAAACTTAAAACATACGTATAAGGCATCACTGTGGCTTTGCTGTGTTTTTGTTTTTGGCATTTCGGCAGACACTCTTCCATAAACAGACTCTTAGTGCAATAAAATAAAACAAGTTATGACAGTAACAGAAAGGCTGGTCTGAGTTATATTGATCCTCCTCCTCCTCCTCCCGGTAGTCCCAGCTCAGTGTCACAGCCCGGCGGAGTCCGTCAGGCCTCTCTGGCAGCTCCAGGACCGAGGCTTCAGCAGCTCCAGGAAGGAAGGCTGCAACAACAAAAACCCCACTGTAAGAAGCTGGACCACATCAAGCTACAACCGAAGAAGGAAGTGTGACTTCTGTACCTCTTTGAGGGGGCAGTAGCGCTGAGCGTACCACTCCTGGGAGTACAGGCAGATGATGACGCCCTGACCCAGGAACAGAGACGTCCACATGATGATGTTCCAGATGGGACCTTTCCTCTGGTCGTGCAGGATGAAGTTGAACATCACTGTGGGAGGATGAGGTGATAAATTCACAGACATCAGCCTTTTTCAGACATGAGATATGAAACATTGCTGCTTCATCGGTCAACGTGACGGCATTTTGTCATTCAGAAAGAGTTTCCACTCATGTTGGAGACAGTTTGGGTCAGGTACTGGGACAGAGAGAGTCCCGGTATGATATTTGTCATTTACATGAGATTAGACACAGCAGGTGATGTATAACATATAATAATGCAACAACAAACAGCTTAGCAAAGTGTCCAAACATTATATCTCAATTTCTATATAGATATTGCTTTTTTTTTTCTTCTTACTGTCACTTTGCTGCTGTAACGCTGCAAAGTTCCCCCTGTGGGACTAATAAAGGACATTCTATTTTATTCTATTCTATATTTATATTATAATATAACCGTGACTTAATCAACAGTATAAGAACAGTATAAGCTGCTGTTAGATCCTGATGCATCCCATCTCGATGTCGGGGATCATTTTTAATAATAAAGTTAGTGTCGTTGTGCATAAATATCTGCAAGTTTCTCGCTTTGAAAACCCTGCTGCTGTTTGATGCTGCAGGTTTTTAACAAACTCAAGAGGAAAAACTACAATCAGGTGGAAGAAAGAAGCTACACTGGGATTCGGTATGACAGCTCACAGGTCTGATGTGAAACTAAAGTACAGAGTGTGACCCGCTGCTGGATCCTGATCCGGATCTGATCCTGTCTGCATGTCGGAGATCATTTAGAAGTTATTACTGAAGTTACAGAGATTGTTGCTCCACATGTGCAAAGAGTCACTGTACACTTCATCAACATGTTTGTTGACGCTGCTTTCCAGGTCAGATGTATTTTTTTGTCCTCATTAACCAATCAGTAAACGCTGATCACAGTCTGAGACACCATTGTGTTTAAATGGTGCTTCAGTGTGTGATGCTGTTTTTTTTTTCTTACTTCCAAAACACATGAAGAGGCAGAAGAGCACGGGATAGAAGAAGCCAAAGCAAACGGCCAGGATGTACTCGTGGACCACGGCGGACACGGTGAACACGAACAGCATGGCGGCGGGTCGGAAACGCTTCTGAGACATCTAGAACGGAAAACAAGACGTTAAATCAGATCCATGAACTATTATAATACACTGTCAGGGTAGATTGTTGTAGTAGGAGGTTGTTGTTTCTCGTAGTAAAGGGGATTTTGAAAATAGTAACACATAGATAGCGGATGGAAGGAAACAGCCCCATGAAATATCAACTGACACCCGTAGTCTACATCCAGGGAGTCAGGCGACATTAGCAGGAACTTAGAAAATGTATTCAAGTTATTTTAAAATGCCTCGTTGCCTTGAAGTTTCCATTGTTCCTATTATTAAAAAAGTTGTCGTGCTTCTGAACCACTCACCCACAGAAAGTCTCGGTACACGTAGTAATACAGCCAGTCGTGGACCACCACATTCCAGGTGCGATAGTAGTTGGCATAAGAGGTTGAGTTCCACCAATCCTGTGAAGAGTAAAGTCATTAAGTCACACATGAATACAGGAAGTGACGTGTGGATTTTACATCGAGGCTGAAAGCAGCACCTTGTAGAACATCCTGTCAGCGAAGCGGAGCATCTCAGCAAAAGCATTGAGCCAGCAGTGGAGGAAGGCGAAGAAGCCCAGGAAGAGAACCAACACTCCTGCAAAAGAAAGAAAGACCGTCAATATTCCTGAACTGAGAACGTATCTAAAGGCATGTGAAAGTGTCCATCAGCTGCTGGTTGATCGAACCTGGCAGGATGGAGTTGAAGACGCAGAGGACCATGGCACGCAGGTCGAACAGCTGCAGACTGATGCTGTGGAACTGAGGTATGCACAGCCGCACAAACACGTAGTAGGCGTAGAACAGACAGCCGAGCACCTGCACAGAGGGAGAGGGAGGTTGCAATTATCAGAAAAACACCTTCAGCTGGTAATCTGAAGGAGTCAGCGAGGAAGCGTGATGGAGGTCCGTACCTGAAGCAACTTGGTGGCCACGTAGCCCCATCTGATCACAGGGTTCCTGCAAAAAAACAGATTAAGTCACTGTTATTTATACAGCACATTTAAAACATGCCCTAGAGTATTATAAATAACAGAACCTAACGAATACAAATATTAAGGCTAAAACCTCACAGTGTTAATAATTATAGAGATGAACCTGGAAAACTTAGAGCTAAATTATGATCCTGAAAAAACTACATGAAACACAACAAATCCAAAGAATCGCTGGATCCCCTATGAGCAAGATTTGGTTTTAATTAATTATTTTAATGTTATATAGATCGTTTTGTGTTTTTATTATACAAATACGTATTTAAATATTAAAACTTTACACTGAACACGCTATTATTTCAGTATTAAAACTGCAATAGTCTCATGTGTAAGGTGTAATGTTTAGAAGTCTTAGAAATTAACTCATCGTGCTTCAGTATTTTGTGCTGCTTGACACAAAAACATCTCCACAATTATTCTCTCTCAAATCCTTTCATGTCTAATCTAATAGAGAGGCCTCCCTGATATAATTTATTTTGTTTTTTTTTTTTAAACTTTATTTACAAGATGCAGAGGATGTTGACATGCAGGCTACACAGGAGCAAAATGAGCGAGAAACAAGAGAAAAGGAAGAAACATAGTTTGAATATTTAAATCAGCACCACAAAGCTTTGCATGATGGGAGGAAAGCCAGAGCTAAATGCTGTCTAAAGTATAAACTATTTTGAAAGCCAGAGTTATGCCAAACAGAAAAGCTCACAGCCAGCTTTTTTTTTCACCTTTTAAAAACATATTTTTTATTTTCAGTGCGACTTTTACAAAATCCCTTCAATCAAGAGTAATCATTCCTTCTAAATGGATTTATTGAGGTGATTTGGTGAAAGTTCCTGTATTTTTTCATCACAATGAGAGTTTGTACCTGGGGTATTTGTCTCTGTAGATGAGTGTGGGTGCAAACAGGAAATAGAGATACTGAGAAACCTGAGGAACCACCGGACCAGGACCTGTAGACAACAAGAGAGGACAGAATGAAAGAGAACACACCAGCTAAGAGAAAGAATCTGCATGCTCTGGAAGCTATGAATGGGACATAACACACATGAAAATAACATACTGGTCTTGTCTTTAGCCCAGGTCTGGACTTTTGGCACATTCTCCCGGACAAACGAGTGAGCTTTCATCATCAGACGGACCTGCGATTTGACAAGTCATCTTTTACACGGAGCACATTTCAACGGGTGCTTCACAAGTTCACACATAGGAAAAGACATGCAGCACAATACAACGCTGTCCAGCCGTGTTCGTCTACCTGCTCCAGAATGATGATGAAGCAGGAAGCGGGCGGCAAACTGTTGGTCACCGCCACGTACGTGGGCAGGAATCCCAGCCCCAGGGCCTGGTAGAGCAGGAACACGGAGCCAAACAGCAAACTGTACGTCCCAGAGCGACTGTACGACTGACTGTGTGACCACAGGTGGAACAGGCTGTAAGGAACCAGCAGCACAGACAGGAACATGCAGATCCACGTGCACACCACCAGGGGAAACTGTCCAAAGGCGTAGACCAGCAGGTCGAAGTCCAGCACCAGTCTGAGACACAGGGGGGTGAAGAAGAGATGGAGAAGCTGATTCTCTAGATGTGTATTCCATCAAAATAAGCAAATCTAAAGCACAGCAGTTCTATATTACCTGCCTTCATCAAGGAAATCTACCACCAGCGTGCTGAGGATGAAGAGAATGAGCAGAGCGATGAACATGTGGTAGATGGTCCTGATGTGGTTCACCTCAAACAGCTCGCTGTGGGAAGACGGATGACGCAAAGTGAGCGTCTGTAGTCGTTACACAACCTTCAAACGGCGGTGAAACACAATGAAGAGCACTGTTTGTAACGTCTGTATGATCTCACGTCAGACTTACTCGAGGAGGGACCTGCGGCTGACAAACTGCTTCCCCTGGCCGTGAGGAGGACGGAAATGTCTGCAGAAAAAAAACACAGCGACGACGTGATGGGTTGTTATTGTGGGATGGAGAGCTCGAGTAAGAGCTTGAGAGCCTCACAACCTTCGTCCAGGAGGCTTCTTCAGTTCTGACTGACTGAAGAAGCCTCCTGGATGAAACGTCTTCCAGAACCAAAAAGAGAAGTCCAGCTGCCTTCCACTGAAGCTCCGAGGATGATCAAGACCCGGATAACTGAGAGTCCAAACAGAGTTAAGACAAAGAGAGACCAGAGGGCTGCACTACGAATCAAGACTTTTAGGTTCAAGGAAGTTTTTTAATGTTAACAAACTGACAGATCTCCACGGTAACGGAGGTTCTATTCAGAGTTTGGGGGTTTAAACCGGCTGTAGTGAGCGCCACCCTTTGCCTGATGATCCTCTCCAAGTTTCATCTGCAAACACATCTGGACGAAGCCATGCGGCGGCGGTATGTATCATGTTGCCATGGAAACATACATTCATTCGGTGATGCAGAAAATTCGCTTTTATCTTTGGAGCGGATCTGCTGCAAAGTCCACTTGACACCGCTGGTACTGCAGATGACAGGCCACAGATTAGAAAACTGATTAGTCTACTGGTATTTATATTAATTAATATATTAATATTCAACCAGGAACAAATCATTTCACTGTGATTTGGCCAAAAGATAAACTGAATTCAGTGTATCCTTCATTACGGGACGGTGTCAGATCTATATTAACTTCTGGAGTATCTCATTTAAATGGTTAAAGTTTAAGAGTGGCTGCATTTAAAGTCACTGATTAGAAAATACATCTCTTATCTCACTATTTTCTACCTGCATTCCTCTCTTGCATCATTTGTAGTCGTGGTATTTTTAACCGTAATTCTTTACTATAATAACCTGCTCATGAGTAAAACGATGAGTCCAACTCCCCCATGCATGTCTGATGAGAATAATCTGGTTGGGATTTTAGGTTTAGTCAAGTCAACTTACACCAAAAAAAAAGTCCAGATATGTTAAGTTTGCTTCGTAGTCCAGCCCTCTGAGGAAACTGAGATCTGCTGAAACCCTCACCCGTTTGGGATTTCCATAATTCTATGAAGCTGAACTGCGGTACCTGAGTTTGCTCCTCTCCTTGTCCGACAGCGGAGGAGAGAAGACAGCCGGCACCGGTGCAGGCTCCAGACTGGCTGACTCTTCAATGAGACTGTCCATGAAGTCGTTGACCTGGCTGTCGAACTGACGCATCAGGTCACTCTTCAGGTGCTGGGCAACAGAAAAACCACAACAGATATTCACAGTCCGCAAACACACAAACGGACATGAAACATTTTGCACGTGGCGCCTAATTACGCAAATCTGGTGTCGAGATACAGATTCTCTCATTTAGACGACACTTCACTCCTTTTGTTTATCAGCTCTTGGAAACGAGACACAATTTATTGCACTTCATTGTAATTTCGAGCCAGAGTCCACGGCTCTGTGTTTGCATTTTAGCGCAACTGTAACTGTCATTTATCACCAGGGCTTTAAAACATACAGGAAGTGTGACAGAAGGAGGATCACGGACACGGCTTCAGAGTTGTGCAACCGCTCGGTGTGCAACGAACTTGTTTAACCCTTATGAAATCTGAATGCGTCCTTTGTGCAGTAATGAAAGGGCTCCTAAATTTTTTATTTCTTTTTTAATCAGAATGACGTGCAGAAGGCACGATAAAATACTGAGTCTCTCTGTTCAGTTTTTGGGAATCACATCACTTGCTCAAGTTCACGGATAATGAATTTCTTCCGGTCTTGTCACGACAGATCTAATGACTGATATAATGGTGCAGCTCGCTCAGGATCGAGAAATCAGGTTAGTAGCTTCTGACAGTAACAGAAAACATGCCGTAAATGAACGTATTTAAACGCATATATCTGCATATTTAATGTTAAAGACAGAACTAGATGTGATTTCATAGGCTGAAATAATGACTGCAAGATGGAAAAATAAACATCAGTTAAGGGGAAACACATGATTTTCTAACTATGTTTTGAAGTGACCCACTAAAACGTTACTGACGTACTAACCTCTGCTTTCCGTTTCAGCTGCAGCTTCTTGCTGATCACATGCTCCACCTCAATTCGCCCTGAAATTGGAACGAGAACACACAAATGTAGACATCTGATGAAATTAAAAACAGTCAAAATACTGGACTCTGTGATTTGGACAAAGTCAAATTAACAACAGAGTCTCAACAGAACTTCAGCCTTTTAAATGTGAACGTCGGCTATTTGTCATTTCAGACATTTCAATCAGCGGCCAGCAGATAACCTCATAAATCTAATTTTATTGTTCACTCTTCTGTTCTTTTACAACAAGATACAAAAGACTAACTAGCTTGAAATTGGTGACAACAGTCTCAGAAACAACAGACGTCCAGTTACAACAGTCTTAAGAGCAGAGCCTGATTAATGCTGGGTTTTTACAGCCGATATAGCTTTTAAGGGAGAAATAAAACTCTGATATCAGTATGTATTCTCCCTGAATAGCGGGGATATTGTTTATTAACTCTACAGGAATATACGAAGTGGTTGGTGGCTCAGAGTGAAGTCACTTCTTGACTCAGCACCGGCGTCTGCTCAGCAGTGATAAACACTACATGTGCTGTGGACGGTGCTGTGTGTCGTAAATAATCATTTTGCTGTAAAATCATTATCTGAAGTATATTTTTCTGCATTATGCCCCATAAAAAAAAATAAAGGAAAGGTTTTAATACTGGACAGCTGATATTGATGATGCTTCTGTGAGAAGCCAATATCAGCTCATAACATCAGCTATACTGGTTGGGCTAAACTTTAGATTCCAAAATTAAATCAAGTTTATTTCTACAGCTCGATTAAAACGACTTAAGTTGACCGAGTGACGTAGAAGCTATCAGTTAGGCAGTAACTAAAACATGAGCAAAAAGCAAGACAGGATAAATACAAAAGAGAAGGCAGCAACTCATAAGATCAACTTCTCAAATAAAATAAAGCATTAAGATGACTATGAGCAACCAGGAGGCCATTGACATGAGATTTGATTGAGAAAAAGAAGCTTTAAAGCTGCTCCTGCAAAGACGAAATCCAAACGGAGGCACACCTGTAACGGTGTCTAACAAGTATGATGTAAAGTCAACAAGACCAGCGACCTCCCCTTATTGTGGCTGAGGTTACTAAAGGTCACCAGATGATGAACACGTTTGCTCTGTTCAGAGGTCAGTCTGACAAACGGTGGCAAACAGCAGCAGCACTCCACCCATCAGTGACAAAGACAGAGTCAGAGGTTTAAACTCTACTGACACCTTATTCTGAGTCTCCGGCATGTTTCCTCCACATATACAGAGAACTGCTATTGTTCCACTGTTCCACAGTCACCGTTTCTCAGAACCAGTCCGTTCCCACTTAGGTTCCGTCTGCTGCCGGTGACCACTCGGTTTAGTAGGAAGCACAAAATGAAAAATGAACCATTCTGAACTATTTCAGCTGTAAATGAATGTCATTTTAAGGATTTCACTCCTCTCGTTAAGCTAATAATTAGTAAAAATCACAGAAAAAGTATTAATTTAAATGTTATCTGTAAAAATACAGGCTAAATAATGTCCACATAAAAAAACATATTTTTATAAATAGTTATTTGTGCTTTTACAATGTTTGACTGTAGAATTAAGCTATTTTTTCTGTATTTAAGTCAACACAAAAATAAGTCCTTTCATAGACAATTGTTGTTATTTGAAGGACAAATTTTGTATATTAAGGATTGAATTTTTTAAAATTTTTAAAACAGCTTTACTCTTTGTTTTGGTAAAAATCACAGATAATATGTAAAAATTACAGAACAAGTATTAATTTACATATTACTGTAAAAAAAAAACAAAAAAAAAACAGAGCAAAACTGTAGCCTCCATATTGTCCACTACATAAGTTTAGTATTTTATCAGCTATAAATACAATTATTTTACAGATATCAGCCACGATTCTCACCATTTTCAAAGTTTCTGAGCTCAGCAGTATTCCAATATTCTTAACGTATTTTTTCTGGCACTCTAGCTGCCAGACTTTGACAGTTTCTGCTCAGACTTGTGTTGTTTCACAGTGCAGTGTGAACCCTGTCATTCCCCGCTGTGGTTAACCACACTGACTGAACCAGAGGTCGAAACGAGCCCTGAACAGGAAACAGGTCATGCACTGGTTTCAGTGGTCATACAGTCAAGGAGGTCTACTGTAAGTGAAAAAAACATGACGATGAGGGCTTTAAGCAGCACATTGCATCAGAGGTCAACGTCCTGTGGTGGCCTCTGCTGATGGGGAAGTCCAGCCTGTCCTACCGTTGCTGCTCATGTGGACCTCTCCGTTCTCCAGCTGGTGCTTCTCCGGACTGAGCTCCCCGTCCAGAGAGTCGTCCAGGTCGGAGAAGGTGGGCATCTTGGGTACGGGTCTGTAGCGGGACCGGAGGACGCCGCTGTCCCCGGGACTCTCCATCCTGACGACAGTTTAAAACAAACAAACAAACAAACACACGAAGAAGAAGTTAGCATCGCTGCTGTCTGGAATGCTAAAGATCCTGGCAGCAGATAATCAGATCACCCTCACATGACCCGCAGCGGGCACACAGCTAACACACTAGTTAGCTTAGTCAGGAGTCACTCCGGTTAACCGGGAGCTAACTAGACAACTAGTAAAGCTGAACAACCAGCTGGTTTAAGGCTGGTGTAACGCCAACATCACTAGTTTCCTGCTAGCTGAGGGAGCTAGTTAAATTAGCCAACTTGTTGACGTTAGCTACGGAACAGGTTGACAGGAGCTGCAGGCGGACGGACACTCGGACTGACACACGTTCAAAAAAATAAAAGAAAACAATAAAATCAAAGTACTCACTCGCTGCTTCAACCGCCGGCTCCTCTGCCTGTTCCGCCGACGTGTCCTCCGACGTTTCACGGTATAAAATCACAGACACACCAGTCGCAGCTGCCGCCGCTCACCTTCATGCTGAAACGCTGATGAGGTGATGAGCGCGGCGGCCGGCGCTGATTGGTCCGCAGTCTCTCCTCCTTTTGACGTCACCAACGAGCCCAGAGTGCTGCTGTCGGATTCCACATCAGCTCCGGTTTCATCAGCAGGTTGGTAAAAACACACAAACGCAACACTGTGGCTCAGAAATAATCAGAATAATAATAATAATTCACACATAATGACACATCTAAATATCGTCCATAAAAAGTGGATGAGCCTGCTGGAGGCAAAGTGGACAAGAAAGTAGTATTTTTGGGTGAAATAAACCTTTAACACTATAAATACCTGCAAAGAGAGGAATAGTTTAGATGGATTTCACATGTAAAACTATGATGTGATAAATGTGCAGTATCTTCCACATACTTCTGGACAACTGCAATAATAATACAGTAAGTTATTATTATTATTATTATTATTATTATTATTATGTAAGTTGTTGTTATTATTATTATTATTATTATTATTATTATTATTATTATTATTATTATTGCACTGTGCTTCTACTCTACTGTCACTGTGTTACTGTGTAATGTATATTTAAATATATTTATTAATTAATATATATATTTATTTCTCTTTTTAAATATATTTTTAAATACATATTTGATTCACATCTATATTCTATATACTCACATATATTTACCTATAACTGCACTGATTGTTATCATATATTATACAGCATATTATTATTATTATTATCATTACTATTATTATTATTAATCGGTTTTGTGCTGCTTCTAGAACAACAGTTTCCCTGAGGTACCCTTCCAAAGGGATCAATAAAGTTCTACCTAATCTCATCTAATCTAATCCAGTCTAGCACATGAGCAGTTTCTTCTGCAGCATTCAGATTCATTTATTATGTGTTTTTTGTATTCTACCTTTTATTACTCTTGTCGTGTATTAGTCTGTGTTTTTACTCGACTACCAGACAGCCCTGCACAAGAATTCCTAGACTGTCTGTTTGTCCACAAATGGCAAATAAAGACCTTGAATCCACCTGCAGATAGACAAGTGGATGAACCTGCTGGTGGGAAAGTGGACAAAACTTAGAATGTAACAGAACAATACAAATTTAACTGCCTAATTTAAAGACTAGATAGAAGATGTTGTCAGTTATCATCCAAATCCAAAGTGTCTTCCCTTAAACCTCTGACTGAATATGCTATACAAGTCCCTCTGTGTTATCCTCTTATGTGGTTATCTTACTGTGTTCTTTTTCTTCATGTTAGTATGTATATCTAATCTAATGTTTGTATATTGTGCTTTTCTCCTTAAAGAAATGTTGGCCATCGTTATCAGACTCCACATAAAATAGTAGCTGCAACACCATGGCAAGAGCTGCCAAGTGCAGAAATATTACCCAGCAACTTTAAATTTTATTACAATATTATAGAAAATACAAATATTCCTGACTTGATGCTGCAAGATCGAATCATAAAACAGCACCAACCTTGTGCCGTGTTAGCTGATTTTGTGCTTTAGTGGTGCATTTTCCCTAAAAAACATTAAAGTTATTATAAACATACAGCCCCACAGTAAATCCAAGGCCTGCGCTTTGTTATGCATTTCTTTTAGGTCTGTGCCTCAAACAGTATTTTCCGAAATTCTATAATCAAATTCAAGATTCATTATCTTTTCTCAAGGAGAGAAGTTTAAAATAAGAAAGAAGGAAGGATAAAACAGAAAGAATAGCCTCCTTAATTTACCCTAAATGGTTTGTCAGAATTATAAACAGTAGTTATTTTATGCTTTAGTCTGTTTAGCACATTTCACATCATTAATAAGAGTATTAAAAACTTGTGTCTCGTCCTCACACAAAGTTCATAAAGACGTCCTGTTCAGAGGCGGGCCACGGTTCTTTACTTGTGGTCAGTGATGCGCGAGATGATGTAAAGGGTCATGAGTGAGTTTTTGTCTTCAGGCATTGAGGATTAAAGACTTTGTGCTAATTAATTTCATAAAAGGAAGTTTATCTCTCTGCAGTGTGCTGAGAAGGTCCCTGTGACTCAGAAAAATTAAGATGCCTGACATGCAGCGATTATTATTCTTTTTTTTCGTCTCCCAACAATCACACATCAACAGACCTGGACTGTCGGGAGTCTACGGTTCTGGCACCATGCAGGCCCGTAACGGCTGCAGACGGAAAGCCTCAGACAAACGCTACTCAACTGGTTATGTAATGAACAGATGTTTTGTGTGTTCAACCTGTGAGCGCAATCAAAGAGAGCAAATATACATAAAAACATTCAGTCATTGTATGTTCTGGCATATGATGAGTTTGTCTCACACATGCTGCTGTTAAATTGAACAACAGGACCCTTCATTTTGTTCATTAACTCTTTTGCGGGCCAGATAACATCACCAGACAACAACCTGTTTACTGCAAATGGGAAATAGCTCTTGTAGCTCCCAGACACTGGCAAAGCAAGAACTGTACACAGGTTTGGGTGGAATAAACCTTTAAAACCATAACTCATTTGCTTAAAAAAGTA